GCCATCATCAGGCTCCACAGAGCGACGAGGGGGGGCGTGAGCCAATCTCAACTTGTACCAGACCCAGGTTTGGATTCCAAAACCCTGTCGGTACAGGCCAGTAGCGTGGTACATCTTCGAACGGCCACCCCTCCCCCCCTCCCTACAGAAATTTCCACGAGGAGACCCTGTTAGGCTGGTTTTGGCTGAACTCGACCTATGACATGGAAAGAGAGGCGGAGGAAAGGGATAGGCTGTGGCGAAACAGCACTGAAGATGAAGAGGGAAAAAAAAAACAGCTGATCAGACAAACGTCTAGAGAAAAGAGTAATCCGGAAATGGCAAATAAATCCCAAAGCATGCAGGGAGAGTAGCCCCAAAAGTGGAAAAAAAAGACCAAACCATCGGCGGCGAGGAGAACTCTGTGCCCCAAGTCCGACGAACAAGAGGCATCGTGCGGATCAATAAACATCGTAAGGATGCCCCAGCACTCAGTAGCTTCGATCACAAATACATTTCGCTACTCTCATGCACCGCTCGCTATGCTCCGTATCCGCCTGAGTGCGGTCCGCAGAGGGGGGGCAAGAATGTCGGTGCCTGTTGAAAGCTGAAAAGATGAGACTCCGTCGAAACCCACCCCATTGGCTCCGTAAAAAGTAGCACGAGCCGGCCGCTCATCTGCGGAGAGAAAAGGAGCGCACTAGACTGCATGTCGTGGGACACGCATGCTTGAGGAGCAAATCATCGTCATAAACCCGCTCAAAGTCCACTCTCCTCATGCGAGCTTCGTGCTTGCAATTAACATGAGGTTTCGGTGAGCCCACTAAAGAAAACACGCATCGTGAGACTTTGAAAGCCTCCAGTTGCATCACTCGATGCTTTCCAAGCGTGTGTCTCGAAACGCCACAACAGAAGCGAGCGTCCAGATTGACCTTGTGGATGGAGAGGCGCAAATATAGCGCACAGGTTGAAACAAAAATAGTTCCCATGTGCTTGTCCCTTCACTGGCGAACTGGTTCACACGTGGTTGGAAATGAAACCTCCGGTTTTTGGTCTTGCATATTTACGCCTTTGTTTGACATCCAGACGAGCCAGGCGATCCAAATAGAATGCTTCAGCCAGCTTCGTATCAACACACGATAGTTTTACAGTCTCCCTAAAAGTTCGTTCGCCTAACCTTGGTGATAAGTAGGTACATGTGTGTTGTTACAATGCATATAGGTGGTCTAAGGTGTTCTTTTGGCGCGGTGCGTCGGCAGTTGTTGAGAAAGTTGTGGATATGGTGATCCATGGAGAAAGGGAGCGTTGCCAAGCTGCATATAGCGCCGTAACATCGTGCTTCCTTTTAGTGTCTTTTCCCATTCCTCCACCCAATATGTCTTTAGGAACAAGCGGCGTACAAGTAGCAGTACTTGTAGTACCTACTTGTAAAGCTATCGAGAGCTTGGCGCCGCTCAGGGGCTTCTCCTCCGTCGATCAACGCCATCATGTCCACCTGTCCAGGGCGGGAATCCTGACGATACCCTGTGGTTATCTGCCGCATCACTTTGGAGCGGGACCGAAATGCGCCAGCTCGGCAATAGGCTTCATTGTCAAGGAGATAACAAGCGGCGATGCAGAAGAGCGAGGACTGAGACAGGACGTATGGTACGCGGGTGGTAGCATTGACAGTGCCCACATATTGCCGCTGCACTACCATTCACGTAAATACGGCTCTGCGAAGAAGCAAGTGTTTCAACGTGACCGCTTTCTAGTGCCACGCCTATTCCACTCAGCGTACAACTGGATACCAGAAGCCCAGAATGCCCCAGTCTTCAGCCGAGCAGTACACGTACCGCAGATACACCACCGGAGGCGTATACCTTGCTCGTGTGCTTGAACGATTCATGTATTCAAGTGCCATGTAACCCAGAGTATGCATACCACTAGCAGTATCCATTCTGCCGCTATCCACTCGTCACATATGGTATGATAGATCTTGCCGAAATCTAGTCGGCGTGGGAGAGGACCAGGATTCTCCGCATGCCACAAAGAGCTCTTGACACGAGAGAGCTGGAAGGCGCTAGGTCTCTGTTCAGAACGCATTTTATTCAAGGGATTATTGCGCATTGGCTTGGAGGCTTCGATTGGTCAAAGTTCGTCCAAGGCTCAGCATGTAACGCGTGTCGGAAATTAGGCTCTGTGCGTTTCGGCTTTTGTTCTCCTCCTGCAGTGTGAAGGGGTTGTGATGCAGCAAAGGTCAAAGTGGTGTTGCTCTTCATTGGCACCCCGTACCCTTGTACGGTCAGGCATCGCAGACCAATTGGAATCACATCCTAATCCAAGAATCCCTGGTATTGCTTGGAATGCCTGCAGAACGCCGACTAATTCCCGGTCAAGTTTGTTCCCAAGAAAATTTCCTAATCCGCTCAGTGCATTAAAGAAGGATCTCGAGTATTCATTCTTAGGACGCAGAGAGATAGTAGAATGACTCGCGAGATTCTAATCGCAGAACTCGGGTGTCGCATCCGGGTGTCGCCCCGCAGACGTCAATCGATCATTGTGGGACCTGTCATCGGTCATGGTGATACTAGCATGCATTACTCGTACGTGTATATGATATCCCAAGCAGGTCGTGGTTTCGAAAGGGCCAAATTCTGCTTTCAGCCATGGAATCAACGAGTGCCATGCTTCTAAAGCCAGATTATGCTGTAACCAACGGAGGTCCAGCTTCTAAAGCCACCTCACTTGTTTGAACCGTCGTAACTGTTCCTGTAAACAGCATAAGCCAAACAGCCAGCAAGCACGCAGCAAAGGATTGTTGAAATACCCACCCTGTCCGAGCGTCATCAACGCTGCTGCAGCTTTTCAGCCGCACCAAGCCAGCGGGAATAGGAATATGTTAGCGGCAGGCGGCTAAGCCCATTCAAATATCTCCGGCAGGCAGGTCCCCCAGCTAGGAGACAAAAGTAGGTAGCATTGGACGCGGGATCTCCAGGATCCCACGTAAGATCACGCATTCTTCCAGCCTTGCTGGGTCCTCCATTCGGGTGCCACTCCACAGGCCCCTGTCCTACGCGCCTCTGTGATGGTAGTCCCACCAACCATGCAGATAGTCCAATGCCAGCTGCTTATACTTTGTCAGCGACATATCTTGAGTGACAAAAGCACAGCAGAGCGGTAGGAAGCGATAGTTGGCGAGATGAACAATAGCTTGTTGAGTCCGCGTCTCTTCAGCTCTCGTTTAATCGGGGGAGAAGCATCGAGCTAGGAAACTAAACAGGGAGTCTCCTCTGACGAGTTGCCTGTTTTGGTCGCTGCGCGCACGCCCAAGCTGAAGCATATTGTCTTGGACCACGAAGAATGGCAATGCATGCAGAGAAAAGGTGTGTTGAGTCAAGATATTTCACCAGATGCCCGTGGTACTCTGTAAACCTGGAATTGTCTGCGGTGAATGCAGCCATGTAACGAGCAACGCCGGGGTGAAGTGCGATGTGACAACGGCTCACACCAGCAATCCGAACCGCGAATTTGGCCACGCCTCTCAGGCGCATACACGTACTTCTCCAGCGCATGAGCGTGGCACGAACATGGATAATAGCAGAGGGATGTACTGTCAAACAGCATCCCAGTCATCCAATGCCATGTAAAACTGCTGACATGCCATGCGAGGGCCCTGAACGTTGCACTGACGGGGAGTGCGAATTCTGCTGCCATGCACGGCGCAGTCAGAAGGAATCACAACTTTGCGAACCCCGGAATCTAGTCACCAGATCAGATCCCTGTTCCTTGCTCAACCCAGCAACAGCTCGATAGCCGCTGCTCATGAAGGTCTCTGTATATAGCCGTTAGCGACGTATCAGCAAAGGATCACGTCACGGGGGCGTATACTCATGCTAGCACTGTTTGCAGTGTCAACACCAACCAACACCAACTGACCCGGCTGTGACCAGTGCCCGCCCCGTCGTCCAAGGCCGGTCCCAGGCCATCGGGATCAGATCAGATCCACCAAGATCAAAACTCAGCAGCTTTAGATTGATCGATATCACAGTGGAGTCCCGAGTTCCGTCGATATAAGCAGCACCCTGACCGGAGTCCGTCAACCTCGATTACGGCATTTATCCGCAGCCGTTGGACGAGCACGGCATCTTGGCGTCCGTCGGGGAGTCTCGCTCGACCTCACCGAAGCCCAAAACCGCTAAATCCATGCGTCGCCCCCAGATTAATCGTTGCTCTCGTTATAGCGGAGCTGGGATCCCCAGTTGGTCCCCGATTATTGTGATAAGAGGCTGGAGAATCTGCGTAGAAAGCGACCCACGATTGGCTGCAGCCCGGGAATAGCTCTGGCGAAACTTCGGGTAGTTGGTCATACTCGGCGCTCCTGATTGGCTGCGACTCGCAATCGCCATGGCAAAACTCCGGCTACCCGGCCATTCTTGGGCAATAATCAGGATATACCACGGCTGGACCCCTGGCTAAACGCCCATAGCGGGGAACATTCGCGGGGAAACTCGTTCTATTGCATCCCTCGTGATGAAGAGTGCATGTGTATGGATTTGCGCGCGGTTTTCGGAGAATCCTACCTCTGCTTGATGCTATCAGGGACGAGAGCTGCCAAGATGGGCGCGTAAGCCCGTTAGTGGGAAAATTGCATTGAGGGATTGCCATCTGGCCTGATTTCTTTTACGTTTCTCCGAAGTTCTCACGGGGAGGTATGGCGGGTTTCGCATTTTATGGGTTGTGTGTGTGTGTGTCTGGGTTTGTGTAGCCGACGCATATATAAACTGCCATGTCTTTTTCGTTTTGAAATGAAAATCTCTTGTAGACTTCTGTCATTCTCGTGTGTCTCGAGACTTCAAAACTTCAATCTCATCACTTGGTTGTTCTCTTCGTGTAAGAGTGCTTGTGTCTTTACCCTAAAGTCTCAGAGAATTCGAGTATACTTGGCACGACGCTCTTGTTTTGATAGAGCGGGATATTTGAGATATCCTCGCTGACAGATTCCAATTTTTTATCTTTCAATATCATTCTATCATTCAGCCATGGCGGAAATTGACGTCGAAGCCGTGTTGAAGAAGCTCACTTTGGCGGAAAAGGTCGACTTACTAGCAGGTGAGCTACATAAACACCACTCCATATCATCTTATCCTTCAACTACAACATTGTTTCCTCCCCTTTCAACATCCCCCCCCCTTTTTGACAATTTCCAAAACAAAACACCTTCAGCATACCGCCGAGACTAATACAATCAATCCCCCAGGCATCGACTTCTGGCACACAAAAGCCCTCCCCCATCACGGCGTCCCCTCGCTGCGCTTCACAGACGGCCCCAACGGTGTAAGAGGCACCAAATTCTTCAATGGCGTCCCCGCGGCCTGCTTCCCCTGCGGCACCGCCCTCGGTTCCACCTTCAACACGTCGCTGCTCGAACAGGCAGGTAAGGTGATGGGCACAGAGGCCATCGCCAAGAGCGCGCATGTGATCCTCGGCCCGACTATCAACATGCAGCGCTCCCCTCTGGGCGGGCGAGGCTTCGAGTCCATTGGCGAGGATCCCTTCCTGGCTGGTTTAGGTGCAGCAGCTCTTGTGCGCGGCATCCAGAGCACCGGCGTGCAGGCGACGATTAAGCACTTCCTGTGCAATGACCAGGAAGATAAGCGGATGATGGTGCAGAGCATCGTCACGGAGCGCGCGCTGCGGGAGATTTACGCGCTGCCGTTCCAGCTGGCGGTGCGGGACTCGCAGCCGGGGGCGTTTATGACGGCGTACAACGGCATCAATGGCGTATCGTGCAGCGAGAATCCAAAGTATCTGGATGCCATGCTGCGCAAGGAATGGGGCTGGGACGGCCTCATCATGAGCGACTGGTACGGCACTTACAGCACCACCGACGCCGCTGTGGCCGGCCTCAACCTCGAGATGCCCGGCCCCCCTCGATTCCGCGGCGAGACGCTCAAGTTCAACGTCTCCAACGGAAAGCCCTTTGTCCATGTCATTGACCAGCGAGCCAGAGAGGTGCTCCAGTTCGTCAAGAAATGTGCTGCGTCCGGCGTCAAGGAGAACGGCCCCGAGACCACCGAGAACAACACCCCCGAGACGGCAGCTCTGCTCCGCAAGATCGGCAACGAGGGCATCGTCCTCCTCAAAAACGACAACAACGTGCTGCCCCTGAAAAAGGACAAGAAGACGCTCGTCCTCGGCCCCAACGCCAAGCAGGCCACCTACCACGGCGGAGGCTCTGCCGCTCTCAGGGCCTACTACGCCGTCACCCCCTTTGACGGCATCAGCAGCCAGCTCACCTCGACCCCGTCATACACCGTCGGCGCTTATACTCATCGCTTCCTCCCCGTGCTGGGCGAGCAGTGCACGACTCCAGACGATGGCGAGGCAGGCATGCGCTGGAGAGTCTTCAACCAGCCCCCCGGCACCCCTGATCGGCAGCACATTGACGAGCTCTTCTTCACCAAGACGGAGATGCACCTCGTCGACTACTACCACCCCAAGGCCGCCGACACGTGGTATGCCGACATGGAGGGCACGTACACCGCCGACGAAGACTGTGTATACGAGCTCGGCCTCGTCGTCTGCGGCACCGCAAAGGCCTATGTAGACGGCAAGCTCGTCGTCGACAACGCAACCCACCAAGTCGCCGGCGACGCCTTCTTCGGCTCCGCAACCCGCGAAGAGACCGGCCGCGTCAACCTCGTCAAGGGCAAAACCTACAAGTTCAAGATTGAGTTCGGCTCCGCGCCCACTTACACCCTCAAGGGCGACACCATCGTGCCCGGCCACGGCTCCCTCCGCGTCGGCGGCTGCAAAGTCATCGACGACCAGGCCGAGATCCGCAAGTCTGTCGCCCTGGCCAAGGAGCACGACCAGGTCATCATCTGCGCGGGGCTCAACGCCGACTGGGAGACCGAGGGCGCCGACCGCGCGAGCATGAAGCTGCCCGGTGTGCTGGACCAGTTGATTGCCGAAGTGGCCGCCGCGAACTCCAACACCGTCGTCGTGATGCAGACGGGAACCCCTGAAGAGATGCCCTGGCTGGAACAGACGCCCGCTGTGGTGCAGGCCTGGTACGGCGGCAACGAGACGGGCAACTCCATCGCGGACGTCATCTTCGGGGCCTACAACCCCTCTGGCAAGCTGCCGCTCAGCTTCCCCAAGCGCCTGCAGGACAACCCGGCCTTCTTGAACTACCGCACCGAGGCTGGCCGCACCTTATACGGCGAGGACGTCTACGTCGGCTACAGATACTACGAGTTCGCCGACAAGGACGTCAACTTCCCCTTTGGCCACGGCCTCTCCTACACAACCTTTTCCTTCTCAGACCTCAGCGTCTCCCACAAGAACGGCAAGCTGAGCGTGTCTCTCTCAGTAAAGAACACGGGGTCTATCGCCGGCGCACAGGTCGCCCAGCTGTACATCCGCCCCGTACAAGCTGCTCGAATCAACCGCCCCATCAAGGAGCTCAAGGGCTTTGCAAAGGTAGATCTGCAGCCGGGCGAGACGAAGAGCGTGACGATTGAAGAGCAGGAGAAGTATGTTGCTGCGTACTTTGATGAGGAGCGCAACGAGTGGTGTGTTGAAAAGGGAGATTATGAGGTTATTGTGAGTGATAGCAGTGCTGTCAGGGACGGAGCGCTCAAGGGGAGGTTTTCAGTGGAGGAGACGTATTGGTGGAGTGGGATTTAGGGGGGATTATATGTAACTGACGAATTTAATGACAATGTAACGATGTGTTATACCGCTGAATCAAACAAGGCAAAGGAGTAAGCGCATGACTGTAGCAATTACATGTGATGTATGTAACAAGGAGCCAGCTACTTATGAGGGACCAAGTCGTAACCACGCTTTGCAGTAATATCGTTGATCAAGCTCGCTATTAAGTGTTTTTTTCTAACTAGATGACTTTGAATCGTACTGCACTACACTAAATAAACTAACAAGAATCAACAACACTCTTTGCCAGCTCATGACCTTCTCCCCCTCCAATATAAATTATCTCACAATTGATTCCAGCGACAAATCATTCATCCTAGCAATCGTTTCAATGTAAAAAGAAAAAAAAAATACCCGCTTGCTCGTCTTTTTATCCAACTCTTAATAATCCCAAAGCTCAGAGCAATTCCATCTTTTGAATCCCCAGTCTTTCACCCCCATCGCCACTCCTATGAAAACGTATGAGAAAGCTCTTCCCCCATCCGGCCTCGTCCGCAAAGGGCAAGAGAAGTCAGCACTCTATCACGCAAAAGGCTTTTTTTTTTTTTTTTGCTATCCAAATCCACATTGTTGCGTCCCCGTTTCCCCTGCCCCTGCAGGCTCCCTGGTACATATGTATGGGGAACTGGGGCTCATGGGTATGCGCGCGTAATCGCTCTGCATTCGTCCAAGGTGGAGGCAGACTTGTAAGTCGCCTTGTTGTCTGACTGAAATCTCGCCAAAGCAATCGCATACTGCAGTTTGTGTCAGGTTGCTGGCTGCAGTAAACAATCCTTGCGAGTATCCGGCATGTCCTGTCATCATTAAATCTCTCCTTGAGATTTCCCTCCAACCAGTACAGCACCGTATCCCTTGGAGGTGGAAAGCAAGCTTTTCATCTATTCAATCAGCTCGTGATCGTCATTGCACCGCACATTGGCAACCACCTCCGGGATGCTCGCTTCCCGTAGAATGAACCCATGCTTCTCCACCACATTCTCTCCCCCCGAAGGGCCATACTGGTAATCCATCCCGTCATCCTGGGGGTAATTGTACTGGTCTCCCCTGAGCCACCGCTGCAGACTCAGGGCCGTATTAGCCGCGCTGATGGCGACGTGCCAGTTCTCCAGGCCCATGGTCATCCAGCCAACCACGGACAGCGTCTTGATCATCCGCGCGGGCGGGGACGTGTGGCAGCTTGGCACCGCCGCCGCCATGACCCAGATGAAGACGCCCACAGCAGTCTTCCAGTACGGCACCGAAACCTCCCAGACCAGCTCCCACAGCTTTAAAAAGTCAGTCTCGCCTAGGATCTGGCTGGTGGGCACGCGGGCAATGATGGCTCGGTAGTAAATCGAGGCCGTTACGCGGATACAGCGGTACATGGCATCATTCTTCGTCCTGGCCAATCGGGCACTGGCAGTTTCATCTACCGGCGCGGGTGGCGAGCTGCTCATAGATGCACTATCGTTGCTTCTGGGGGAGGACGAATCATAATCAGAACTACTTGCCGGGGATGTACCCGCCCCCTCGTAGCCCGTCGTCTCCCACTGGACATCGTCTCCTTCTTCGGCTCCACGCCCCGTGCCGTCGTCCTGGTCATGAAGGGGAATGTTCTCGGGCATCTGATCTAGCTTGTTAAGCGCCCACAATGCAGCTTCCTTGACATGGAGCAGCTCTTGCGCGGTTGGCGAGGGAGGCAGGGATTGTACCATCTGTATGACAGATCTTACGTCGTCCAGGATCTGGGCCGAGCTTCGATGAAGTTTCAGGGCCGATGCCGGGTCGATAAACATTGGCCATCCTGATAAAAAGGGGGAATTGAAAGCGGTTTGATACGGAACCATGAAGTCATCTTGAAATTCAAAACTGGGTTGGCCGTAGATATCGGGCTCAATGTCGTGAGCGATGGCGATGGCAATGTCGTGACTAGGTAATTGGGTTTGAATTATTAGCAGGGTTCTCCATCAAAATCTGGCAAATGTATGCAGCAGTCCTTGTGGCGATGTGAAAATACTACACCGGTGGAGATGGTGAAAGCGCGTTGGTCCGGAACAATGTGACAGACTGCTCTTCCATGCCTAAAAGGGGGTGGGGAGGGCTTTTTGGATGCAACTCACATGAGCACCGTCTTGGCTAGGAAACCGCCCATTCCTAGATCCTGCAGACCGCCCCTCATCCGCAGCATGGTCTTGAGGCCCGCCATGTGGGCGCGCAGTTCTTCAGTGGTTCCCCAGTACCACGAGTCCATGACCATCTGGGCGGTTCCCATGATGGCCGCATCGCCCGTCTGCATTCTAGCCGAGCTCAAGTGCTCGTTGAGCATACGGTGGACCACGCCCTTGTAAGCCCAAGCGAGCATCTTGGGCACTCGGCCTGTTTCCTTGAGGAAGCATACTGCGGTATACAGCACTATCTGGAGAAGGAGAGGGTCTTTAATGGACAGCGGGACCCAGTGTTTCATGAATCGACTCTCAGGATCAGGATTTCCATCTATAGAAGCCTTGAAGCGTGATAGGAGTTGGAGATCTGCAGCAGGGAAAATTCATGTTAGTTAGACTCTGTTACCTTGCCTCTCTAGCTGCTGCTTGATCTCTTTTTGATTATACAAGGAGAATTTAGGTTGTGATAAGACTGCTACTCAGATATAG